ACCCCCCCCCCCCCCGAGTCCCAGGGCCAGCGAGCTCTCCGGGACACCGGAGGTGACCTCGTCCGGAGTGGGCGGGACATGGGGGTGGGTGGTCCGGGGACAGGCCGGAGCCCTCCCAGAAGGCGGCGCTGCCTCCAGCAGATAGGTGCCGTGCCCCCTCGACTCGGAGCAGCGGAGGGGCGTCCGACCTGCCCTCCCCTGCAGCGGCAGCAGCGTGCAGGCTCCCCTGCCAAGGGGTCGTGGGTCCCCACCCCTCCACATCCCTCCTCCTTCAGGGCCCCGAGGCGCTGGAGCACAGGGTCAGGGGGCGGAGCCCTCCGGAAGGCAGCCCCATCCCCCCAGGCCATTCCCCTGGGATAGCCCCCTCTGCGGGCCATCCCCTCCCTGGTTTCATAACACCCCCCCATTCCCGACCCCTGGGCCAGCCCCTTCCCCTGCCAGGCCCCTCCCCTAGGCCACCACCCTCCCAGGGTCCGGCCCCTCCCTGCATCCTGGCAGGACAGCTGCCTCCCGTTTGGCCTTTGCTGTCCTGCCCCTGAAGGGAGAGCACAGGCGTCCTGAGCACAGCCCTGAGGGGGAACATGCCTTGGGGATCCTGACGGCACCCTGTCCTCCATCTCACCCCACACTCCAGCCCTCCAAGCTGACGGGGATCCGCCACCACCACGGCTAGAGGGAGACACCCAAGTCGACCCCCGACCTGAGCTAGTCTTCAGGGAGACCGAGGCCCTGTCCATCTCCCCAACCCTGCAAGAAGGAGCTGACACTGAGTCTTTTTGGGGGTGGCGTGCTAATGGCCCCCCTGTGTTGACCTGCTGATCTCCGAGGATTTTTCCACCCCAGCCTTCCAAGTAGCCAGGCTAATTTTTTTTTTTAATTTATTGTAGAGATGAGGTCTCGCCATGTAGCCCAGACTGGTCTCGAACCTGTGGATTCAGGTAATCCTCTCACTTTGGCCCCCCAAACTGCTGGGTTACAGACTGAGCCACCGAGTTCGGCCGACACTGAGTCTTAAGGGACACTGGTGGCAGAATGGGACAGGTGGGGGGATGGGACAGGTGATCACAGGTGGAGGAGGGTTGGGTGACCACAAATGGAGGGAGAGGACAGGCAACCATGGGGGGTAGGGAACAGGTGAGCACAGGTGGGGGGGATGGGAAAGGTGACCACATGCGGGAGGGCACAGGTGAGCACAGGTGGGGAAGGGGACAGATGTTCCCAGGTGGGGGTGGGTACAGGTGACCATAGATGGGCGGAGGGAATAGGTGACCATAGATGGGCATAGGGGACAGGTGACCACAGATGGGGGAGGGGACAGGTGACCACAGGTGGAGGAGGGTCGGGTGAACACAAATGGAGGGAGAGGACAGGTAACCACAGGGGGGAGGGAACAGGTGAGCACAGGTGGAGGGATGGGAAAGGTGTATACATGCGGGAGGGCACAGGTGGGAAAGGGGACAGGTGTTCACAGGTGGGGGTGGGTACAGGTGACCATAGATGGGCGGAGGGAATAGGCGACCATAGATGGGCATAGGGGACAGGTGACCACAAATGGGGAGGGGACAGGTGACCACAGGTGGGGGAATGGGACAGGTGACCACAGGTGGAGGAGAGTTGGGTGAACACAAATGAAGAGGACAGGTAACCATGGGGGGAGGGAACAGGTGAGCACAGGTGGGAGGGATGGGAAATGTGACCACATGCGGGAGGGGACAGGTGACCATAGATGGGCAGAGGGAACAGGTGACCACAGATGGGGGAGGGGACAGGTGACTACAGGGGGTGATGGGACAGGTGACACCAGGTGGAAGGGTGGGAACAGGTCACCGTAGCGTGTGGCCAAGCTGGAGGGTCAGGACCCAGCACCCCGTGCCAAAGTCCCTCGTGGAATGTCCGGGAAAGGCCTGAAAGGGCCCAGAGCTGCCCTTAGGTGGTGACAAGCACACGCTCCAGCCGTGGGTCAGACTCATGGGGAGGGGAGCTTAGGTCAGACGAAGTGGGAGAGGACCCTCCTCCACTGGGTTTCACCATCCCTGGTCAACCCTCCCCCCCCCCCGGGAGCTATTCCGTCTCATCTCCCTCGACGTGGGGAGCGGCGGGGGACAGGCACAGACCCCTGAGTCCCAGACTCTGCTGTTGCAGCTGCAGGGGCATCGAGGCAGAGAGCATGGATCACACTTCCCCAGCCCTCATGGGGTACCCCCCAGCCTGCACGATGCAGCCCAGAGAAGCTGGATCCCAGGAGGATGTGACCTACCTTATTCTCCTGTCCCTCACGGAGGCGCTCAGTCTGGCGGGCTGCTGGGGAATGGAATGACCCTCTGGCTTCTCAGCGCCAACGTCTGCAGAAACCCCTTCGCCATCTACCTGCTGGACGCGGCCTGCGCCGACCTCATCTTTCTTGGCTGCCACATGGTGGCTGTGGTCCCCGACTGCTGCTCGGCCAGCTGGCCTTCCCAGGCTTTGTGTGGGCCAGCCTGGCCACGCTGCGGTTCTTCTGCTACACAGTGGGCCGGGGCCTGCTGGCGGCCGTCAGGGTGGAGCAGTGCCTGGCCACCCTCTTCCCGGCCTGGTACCCGTGCTGCCACCCACGCCACCTGAACATCTGCATGTGCGCGCTCACCTGGGCCCTCTGTCTGTCGCACCTTTTGCTCAGCGGAGCCCGCACGCACGTGTTCAGGGAACCCAGCCGCCAGCCGTGCAGGACGCTGTGGCTGGTGGCAGCGGCCCTGGAGGCTGCCCTGAGCTGTGCCTTGTGCGGGGCCAGCCTGCTACTGCTGCTGCGTGTGGAGTGGGGCGCCCGGCCCCCAGCCAGGGCTTCTCTGCCCTGATGCCCTTGGCCGTCTGCTCTTCCTCTTCTGTGGCCTGCCCTTCGGCATCTACTGACTGTCCTGGAACCTGCACTGGCACATACCTCACCACTTCTATCATCTCAGCTTCCTTGTGGCCACCGTGCACGGTGCCGCCAAGCCCCTCATCTACTTCCGCCTGGGCAGCGCCCGGGGCCGCAGGCTGCGGGAGTCCCTCCGGCTGGTCCTGCAGCAGGCGCTGGGGAACAAGGCCCAGCTGGCGGCCGGAAGGGAGGCCTCCTGCCGGGGCCTGGTGGACATAGCGACCTAGACCTAAGCCCGTGTAAGCCGGGAGGGCCGCCCGCTCCAGGGAAGGAGGTGGTTTCGAGGTGGAGTGGGAAGGACCCTGGGAGGCCTCTGCTGGTGCCCAGGGCTGGGTGCCGAAGGCGGGCACCTCTCTCCCCTGCATGAGGCTCACCTGGTGTTGCTGGAAGGCGCCCTCTCGGCGTGCCGGGCGGGTGGGCTGTGAGCCTGAGGAGGAGGCCCAGGAATAAGCATTTTGAGGAAACCTCCCCACGGGTCTCAGGCCCAGGAGCTGGGAAAGTTGCCGCCGTAGCCCACTCAGTTACAGCAAAGAGACCCAGGGAAGGCCTGTCGCCAGGCGAGGGCAGGTCCAGACTCCCACAGTCTCACCTTCCAGCCCCTTTGCAGCTGCAGGCACATCCCCCGCCCCCAGCAGAACACAGAGTGAATCCTCTTCGGATCCCCACGCCTCCTGGGTGGAGCCTAAAACGGAGGGCTGTCCCAAATTTGATGCCCCCCAACTCTGCACAAAGTGCCCGGCCGCCTTCTTGCCACTGGCCGGTTCCGCTGCCCTCCGGCGAAGCGGGAAAACACGGTGACATGGCAGGGCCACTGCCGTGTCTCAGAACGAGGTCAGGAACCTTCAGCCTGAGGCCCGGCTCGGCTTGCATGTCTGAGATTTTCTTGAGAGGAGGCATGTAGGGACTTGGAAAAGGGCTCCCAGGAGTCTGGGGGCTACTGTGGGTAACGGCCCCGGGTTCAAGGCCGTGAGACTCGGGCCTGGACCTTGCAGCCCTTACTCAGAGCTTCAGGAAAGCCGGCGACATCCAGTATCCTGGATCTCGGGATGAAGCAGCCGGGAGGGCCGACAGGCTCCATGCAGCCCGACCC